CATCGTTGGAAATGGTATAATAACCCGATAGATTATGACGTTTTTTCTTTGCTGAGGAGAAGAGCTAAAGTCATGCAAGATTACTGCTATCAAAGATATATAACTCTTTGCCAGGGGAACATAAAGTCTAACCCTAAATTACTGTGGTCATATATTAATTCAAAGCGTAAACGTAATACGGGATACTCTGGTTCAATGACGTATGACAATAAGCAGTTGACGAACGGTCCTACCATCTGCACGGCCTTCAACAATTACTTCGAACGAATGTTTGTTCACCCAGCAGGGAGTTACTCGGACGAGGGACTTCCTTCGATTAGTTCACGCGATTCAATTCATTCTTTTTCTGTAACTCAAGATGAGGTTTACAAGCAACTCGCTGGCTTGGACCCCTGTAAGGGAGTTGGTAGCGATCAAATACCTCCTTTCTTTATAAAAAAAATGTGCAGCAGCACTTTCTTTCCCTTTATTATTAATTTTCAATAAATCTATATCAGAAGGAGTCTTTCCGTCTAAGTGGAAAGAAGCGCACATTGTTCCAATCCATAAAAAGGGCTCCAAGCGTGAAATTGCGAATTATCGCCCTATCTCCATTTTGAATGTTTTCGGAAAGACTCTGGAGAAATTTGTTTACAGGGAAACATATCCAATCTTAAAGCAAGGCATATTCGGCTTCATCAAGGGGAGATCAACAACTACAAATTTAAGTTTGTATATAAGTGAACTGCATCGTAACATGGGCTATCGTTCACAGGTGGATGTAATATATACAGATTTTGAAAAGGCCTTCGACCGCGTGGATCACATCATTCTTTTGCAAATGCTTTATCAACTGGGAATACGCGGGGATTTGTACAGGTGGATAAAATCTCACATATGTAATCGTAAACAGGCTGTTGTGATCGGTGGGATTCGCTCTGACTATGTCAATATAACGTCAGGCGTGCCGCAGGGCTCGTTACTCGGTCCTCTATTCTATATAGCGTATATAAGCGATATATCTTCATGTCTTAAGCATGCTAGGTTCTTGCTCTACGCTGATGATACAAAAATCTATATGAAAGTTGAATCATATGATGACTGTTTGAAATTGCAAGAAGATCTGGACCGACTTTCAGAGTATTACATAAGAAACAGGATAACAGTTAACACGGTAAAATGCGTGCATATTATGTTTACAAGATGCAAAAATCCTGTTCTGTGCAATTACAAACTTAATAATGAAGTAGTGACTAAAGTGAATGTTGTGAGCGATCCAGGGGTAACTTTGGATTCAAAATTAACATTCGCCAATCATTTTAACGATATAACCACCAAGGCTTATAAAAATTTAGGATTTATTTTCAGAGTTACGAAAGATTTCAAGGACGCTGCTTGCATGAAAGTATTATATTATGCTTATGTTCGAAGTACTCTTGAGTACTGTAGCACCGTGTGGAATCCACAGTACATAACACACGAACACGCCATTGAACGTATACAAATGAAATTCGTAAAATATCTAAACTTTAGAGTCAAAAATGAATCCAATGGTTATGGGGAGTCATGTAGCATATACGGTCTCATTACTCTTGGTGACAGGCAACGCATGCGGGACATGATGACTTTGTTCGATGTATGTTCTGGAGTACTGGACTGCACCGAGTTGATAAATAGAATAGTTTCCTTAAAGGCTCCTACAAAAAGAACACGCCACACGCAACTTTTTCATGTACCATCTGTGCGTACAAATTACGAGGCTAATGATATGACAGTAAGGTTGCCAAAAACGTACAACAAGTACTTCTCTGATATCGACCTGGGGCCCAATTCTCGCGGCGTAGATATTATATCGGCTTCGAGATAATATCGAAAGTAGGGTTATCTATTGAAAATATCTACTGATGGTAAAAAATGCTATTCTCGTGGATTTTCGATATTCCTATGATATTATATCTATCGTAGATATTCTTTCACTGCCGAATGCGTTCCGTTTTTCTCGATTAAGTTAACATCATAGTCTATATAAAATAATAATAAATAAGAGCAGAATTTTACAAGCAACAAAATGATATTTTAGAATTCCATTCATATTAAATATGAGTATACATTTTTTGAGTATAAGAAATCTCAACTTTACCTAAATTGTATGCGTATATAATTCCAACGTTATGTATAATGAAACGTCAATATTATTTAAGGGTACGGCCAGAGTGCACTCAGATTCAGATTCAGATTCTGAAAACAAGCGCGAGAAATAAACAGTTTAGTTAAAGCAGGGTGGGTGGCCATAGTGGCCGCAGGCAACCTGCTTAAACTACACTGTATATTTCTCGCGCTTGTTTTCTGAGTCTGAATCTGAATCTGAGTGCACTCTGGCCGTACCCTTAAATAATATTGACGTTTCATTATACATAACGTTGGAATTATATACGCATACAATTTAGGTAAAGTTGAGATTTCTTATACTCAAAATATGTATAAAATAATAATAAATAAGAGCAGAATTTTACAAGCAACAAAATGATATTTTAGAATTCCATTCATATTAAATATGAGTATACATTTTTTGAGTATAAGAAATCTCAACTTTACCTAAATTGTATGCGTATATAATTCCAACGTTATGTATAATGAAACGTCAATATTATTTAAGGGTACGGCCAGAGTGCACTCAGATTCAGATTCAGACTCAGAAAACAAGCGCGAGAAATATACAGTGTAGTTTAAGCAGGTTGCCTGCGGCCACTATGGCCACCCACCCTGCTTTAACTAAACTGTTTATTTCTCGCGCTTGTTTTCAGAATCTGAATCTGAATCTGAGTGCACTCTGGCCGCACCCTAAGATTCTCCCTTTTCAGAGAAGGCAAAGGGAACAATGCCCATAAAGCCTAGTCTTTAGTTATATTAATCTTCTTTTTTTTACATTCGAATGTCGGTGTGACGCATTCTAATGTTTTTTGGAGTGTTTGGCACGAAATTTATGGCTTTTTCTCTAAGCTTCTGTGAGGTATAAAGTTCTCGCGTCCACTTGACCGGAATAGCGAATATTTTAAAGATTCCACTAATTCTTCAGTTGCGCAGACGGTTGTAACACCAAATCACACCAATTTTATTTCACAATATCCACTATGAACGAATTTTAGAATAATTAAAATAAGAAACCAACCGCACTCGCAAAAGTCCCGCCAAAACTCCGTATCGTCAATAAGAAAATGGTGTCGATTCTGGCATGATTCTCTAAACCTAAACGTAAATTTGTATCCTTGTCATTCTCCATACAGAATGAAAAGGAGAGACTCATGTTAAATTTAGTTCTAAGTTTAGAGAATCGTGTCAGAATCGATACCAATGTCATTCATAACTTTAAAGATTTCTAACCAAAGTTTTGTTTAAACGTAATTTTTTTATGAAGTCGGCGTCCCTCATTTCGAATGGACCCTCTTGCTCTCACAACGGCGGCGCCTTAGCACAGCAGCAGCAATCACGTCATTTATTAAATCATTGACGAAAACATGAATCAACTCATCCATCGTTAATATAAATATTTACCTACTTCTTTATTTACTAATTATTTATGAAGGCAGTTAACAACATCTTGAGGTAACAATAATTGGCAAAGACACACGACAACACAATAAATAATAGGTAAAAAAAGTGGAAGTAACAAGATTGACATGCCAAGATCCATAGATATTTATATATCGATGGCTCTTTACCAGTCGATGTATGTCTACTGATCATCCGTAGATAAATATCTATTGCGACATGGTGAGAATAGGGCAAAAAGGTTTTCCTTCGATAAAAGCCAGATCATTCGATATATATCGAAGGTGATATAATATCTATGCCGCGAGAATTGGGCCCCTGTTCTCTTTGTCCAGAGCTGCTTTTAAAACGACATTATTTGAAATTATAACCGCAAGACCCAAATAAGCTTTTTGTTATTATTTATTTTATTATTATTAATTCAAACAATTTATTTTAATTTTTATTTCTATTTATAATTATCAATTCGTACTCTCAATAATATGAAAAATGACTGCACTGCATTTTACGGCTTAAATTATTTTCCCTGACATTTGTTTTGTTTCAATTTCAATTTAATTTATTTGTTTGATTTTATTCTTAGCGCCATGTAGGCCTACAATTACAAGCACTCACGCTGAAGTACCTACTTGAATGATGTAGTGCCCGGGTTGCGGCGTCCGCCATCTCGTTACCAGGCATAGCATTGCAACTGCATGGACACACACACACACACACATACATACGCGCACACACACCCACTCACACTTCATAAAGTTATCATGTGACAAACTCTTGAAAACCCTTTTATATGGATATTCAGTGTTTGTTTTTGTCTTTTTGTTATGTTTTTGTCCAATCTTAATTTTATTTTTTATGTTAATGAATTATATGATTTTTATGCAATTTTTAAAATTAAATTAAATTAAATGTAATAATTACTAATTAATAATTACGCCGTTAATATCTAATGTGTACGGAATGAGTTTCTGTAATTGGCCTTAAGATTATATCTAAATTTTATTGTTGTAGAAACTTTGTTAAAGATAAATAAATAAATATAAAAAAATATAGAAGATGACAAAAAAATATAAAAAATTAACATGTGGTTAAAATATTTATTTTATATTTGAAATGTGTATCAGTCTAGCTGCTCTATTCCTTAGTACTTCGGTTTTTATTTTAAGAAAGCTTTTACTGGCAAATGTCTGCTTTAAGCAAAATATAGTTGTTTCGCCTACTCTGGCAACCCTAGGTGGAGTTTACTTCCCCAGACGGGTACTCCAATTCTCTCAAAACTGTACGGTTACTTACTGTAGGGAAAATTATCTTTTTTATGAAAACGGCGGCAAAGAAGAGTACAGTCCGCTTGATGGTAATCGTTCTCCGTAACCTTTAGATTCCTGCAGTTACTATGGTAGTACGTTATTGGGCGCTAACTACATGCACCAGTGTGGTTCTCAAAAGCGTATGGAATTGATATAGGTACCGACCTTTCTGCCCACTGATAGTTGTCGCCGCAGCCTCCCCACTTAAACCTTGCGTGCGGCTCGGCGGGTGTGAGCTGGGCCTGACGCGGCGGTCGCGGCGGCGCGCGGGGCGGCGCAGCGCACGAGCACGCAGGCAGAGAGCCAGCGGCACACGCGCGTGCCACCGACCACACTAGCGCCGCCGCCGACATTGCGTATACGTACGCCTGCTCGCGTGTACCTGTAGGCGGGATAGTCAGGTAAAGTATCTACATTTTTTATGTTTATGCAGGAAAACGAGCTGACAGATGGTAAGTGGTCACTGCCGCCCATGGACACCCATGCAATGCCGGCTCTGAAGGAAAAGATTCACCGCCCGCCTTTAGATATCATAGCTGAAAGGGAAAACTGCTAAGAGAAGTTCGTTCCAGGTCTTGGTGTAACGCATGGTGCACTCTAAGCGTCCAGATTGCTTTATGTTTTATACGTCATTACTAGCCTAATAATATCTCCACTAGTGAGGCGCAAGTCTTCCTATGGATAGTATAGGGATAATTGGAAGTGCCATGGCTGCAGATGCAGTCGTGACCAACGATGAAACACGAATGAGCTTGATAATTTTTTGGTCACCCATTCAATGACCACCGGCCGTCGTGAAACTTGCTTAATTTCAACGACCGCAGACCAAACGCTAACCCCTTCCTCCTGCGCCATCGAGCTCCCTCATCCATACAAATTAATAATAGGGTAATTAAAATTAAAAATATTGTACATTTACAATATTTCAACATTTTTTTACGGTTTCTATGGTAGTTTTTAATATTACCGATGGGTTACTCGTGTCTTTGATCTAACTAAGGTAGACTAACTTGAGCATAGAACTTGAGGACATTTAGCGTTTGAATGAGCGTATCCTTTGCTAAGTTTTTATTACTTGTAAAAGTGATTTTTTCTAGAAAACTACAAAGCAGAATTGTCTCTTCTTAATTACCAAACGTTCTAAGAGCAAGATTCAATTCCATTCTAAGAGCTGCTGTAGGAACTTTTAAGTATTTATTACACAAGACGGTAAACACATAATACTTAGTTTATACATCATTCGGCACAAAAACGACACGGCAATTATTGTGACTAATAACGAACGCTTACCAGTTACTACTATGGACCTTATTTTTAGTATTATATATATTGTAAAGTAGATTTCAAATATAGCAATTCGATTATTTAAAAGTAAAATTGTCACTGTTCGATTTTAAAATTTCCCTCCGCACTTTTTTCGAGAGCCAATCAAATTTTTCTTGTCTCATTAAAAAATGGATATGCATCGATAACATTTTCGTGCTTCTTCCTTCTTCGTCCTTCTTCACCACGACAACGCGCCTGGACACCACACCAGTCAGAGTCTTGGGACACCCTTCTTACAGTCCTGCTTTGGCTCCGTGTGACTTCTTTTTATTACCTAAAATAAAAAATCAGCTCAAAGGGATACAGTTTCCATCACCGGAAGAAGCGCTAGAAGCGTTTGACAAGGCCGTGGAAGAGGTGTCTGCGGAGGACTGGAAAACATGTTTTGAAAATTGGTTCAGACGCATGATACTTTGTATAGCGGCTGGTGGAGAGTTCTTTATATTTTTTTATAAAAGTTGTTTATTTTTATTTATTTATTTACTAATTTAGTATACACACAATAAAACAGATAAATAGAACAAAAACAAGAAATTTGTACAAGGGCACTGCTTATTTCATATTGAAATTTCTTCCAGCAGGCCCGCGAAAGGAAAGAACATAAAAAAAGCCGTCAGTGTGTGCCTCCTGAATATACATAACAAAATACAATACTTACATAAACAAAACCTACATATATATCTATATAGATGTATAAATAAACATATATACTTAAATAAAATATATAAGTGTTAAAAAGGAGAAGCGATAGAGTTCAGAAACAGTGATTCAAGAGGATAGATAGTGTTCCTTCAACTGTTTTTTGAATGTAGCAACAGTTGGGTTGTCTCTGATTCCTGCTGGCAGCGAGTTCCACAAGCGGACGGCATGTACCGTAAAGGAGCATGATGCAAATTCGGTTTTATGCACAGGACATTTGAGTAGTGATTTGAGATGGGACCTGCAAGGAACATTAGGCGAGTGGGTGAAAGAAAACCGCTCCCGAAGATAGGAAGGATATGAAGGATTATATAGGATATTGAAGAGGAGACAAAGGATGCTGACATTCCTGCGCAGACGCAGGGAGCCACTTGAGTTCCTTTCGAAAATTGGAGACGTGATCATACTTACGAAGCCTAAAGATAAATCGGATAGCAAGATTCTGCAGGCGCTCAAGTTTATTAAGTAATACCTCCGTAGCGTCTAAATAACAAATATCGGCATAGTCGAGAAGTGGAAGAATAAGAGATTGTGCAAGGGCAATTTTAGTATGTAAGGGAAGAAAATTTTGCAAACATTTTGATGTGTGAAGCGAAAAATACATTTTACGACTAACGTTAGCGACGTGAGCTGCCCATGAGAGGTTGGAATCCGTTAGTAGAAGTTAGTTTTTTAGTTTCTCTAAACTTTCTGAGTGTCTCACGTATGTGTACCAAATTTTCGCGCAATCCGTTCAGTGGTTTGAGCTGTGCGTTGATAGTTCAGTCAGTAACGGTTGCCCTTTTTATAGTAGTGTGCGTGTCTGTTGAAGAATTGTATAAAAAGAATTTCATCTTGCAATTTTACAATTCTATCATTTTGGAATTTAAGTGCAATTTGAGAGCCGAGAGTCCGACTCAGCGTATCGTATTTTACAACGTAGTGCTTAGTGCGTAGTTCATATTCTTTAAAAATACACAACAATTTATTCGGAAAGATGATGCCATTGCCAACACTTTTAAAATTTTCGTTTCTAGTGCACCATTTGAAACAAATAGAAATCTTAATTCTTGTTCTAGGTTAGCAATGACCCTCCTTGATTAAGTGTTGATAAGTGCAGTAATGAATTTCATTTTAGCAACATCAGTAGTGATTGTATTATAAAAACTTTCAATTCAATTAATATTAAAAAGATAGAGGATTTATGAGGAATATCAACATATATAATAAAACCGATTATCACTGTCATTGCGCTTCAACTGGCCATTATATTTAACAAATGTATTGATGAGGGAGTGTTTTCAGATCTAATGAAATGTGCTAATGTTATCCCTCTCTTTAAGGCTGGTGAAAAATCAGATCCCAGCAATTGTAGGCCTATATCGATTGTCAAAAAGACTGCCAGTTACTCCAGGAAGATTTAAATAGGTTTGAGCTGTATTGTTATTTAAATAAATTAGATCTGAACATATCTAAATGTAATCTCATAACCTTCACTCGTAAACGGAAGCCATTCCGCAATAAATATGTTTTGAAAGGGCGAGAACTGGCGGAAATTGATGAGATTCGAGATCTGGGTATTTTACATGACTCTAAATTAACATATGAGAAACATATAGACCATATAACTAAAAAGGCTAGAAAATCCTTGGGCTTTGTGATTAGAGTTTGTTCAGAATTCAACAACATTAAAGTGTTGAAAATTTTATATTGTTCTTTGGTGCGAAGTATCCTCGAGTACGGTTCTCAAGTTTGGAACCTCTATTATAACGCTCACATTGGCCGACTTGAATCTGTTTTGATGTATGGGAGAGTAAGCACGATCGCACGCAAAAAAAAGTCGAACCCCCTAACTTTAACAATTAATAATTTAAGAACAAGCTTGCCGTTCCATGTTTCAGACTCCAAAAATCAAGAGGCTCATTTCTGGGTTATACTCGTAGTATTGCATCTATACATATAAAACTCAAAGGTGACTGACTGACATAGTGATCTATCAACGCACAGCCCAAACCACTGGACGGATCGGGCTGAAATTTGGCATGCAGGTAGATGTTATGACGTAGGCATCCGCTAAGAAAGGATTTTGATCAATTCTACCCCCAAGGGGAGAAAATAGGGAATGAAAGTTTGTATGAAACTTTGTCAATTTTAAACCGATCGGGCTGAGACTTTGCATGCAGGTATAAGAAGAATCATAGATGAATGAATGTGTATAATACAAGCCTGAGAACAAAAACTGTAGTCTACACTTCAGCTCTACACCGAAGCGAAGCGAGGGCGGGCCGCTAGTTGTTTAATAAAGTTCCCCAAGATCTGATTGAGCTTCCACTGACCAAATTGAAATCTCAGATCAAGTATACTCTTATGAGTAAGGGCTATTATAAAGTTGATGATTATCTAAATGATAGTAATGTTTCTTGTAATTTGTTATTAGTGTATTAGTCATTTTTCATAACAGTAATATAATATGGTACCTATCTGATGCCACTTCCTATATTAAGTATAAGTATAAAATTAACTATAATATTTATTGTACGAGGGCGGGATGATAAGTAACTAGCCTCTGCTATTTAAAAAGTTAAAATTTAAAAAATATTAATGTCATTTTTAAATTTGTATCTCTGACCACCTGTGTTCTAAATTTGAATTTGGTGGCGCGAAAATTTTATTGATTTTTTGTCATTTGAAAATATATTTCGTCAACTGTTTTCAAAATGGATGAAATTGAACATTGAGTCCACTATTTTGATTGAATTTTTGACTCTGGCGTGTAATGATAAACCCATGTTTCATCTGTTGTTACAAATCGACGTAAAAAATTGGCCTTATTACTCTGAAAACGGTCCAGACATTCTTTTGAGTTTTGCACCCGAATCCTTTTTTGATCGTGCGTAAGCAATCGCGGCACCCAACAGGCCGATAACTTTTTCATATTTAATTCCTCACTTAGGATATGATGTATCCGTTCTTTTGAGATACCTGTAGTGTTAGCTATTTCAGATAACTTGAATCGTCGATCTGCTAAAACCATATCATGTATTATAGATATTAACGGGATTGTTACCATTTACCTTGTTTTTTATCCCGTTAATATCTATAATGTTAGTGACCATGAAAGTTTAAAACAATATATCCATATCATGTACTTTCACGACCGTTTCCGGAGTCGTGACGCTTTTTGGACGTTCGGGGCGGGCTTCATTTTGGACTCATGTACGACCGCGTTTAAACTCAGCCACCCAGTTTTTTACTGTGGCATAAGAAGGAGCACATTCACCCAAAACATTCTTTAACTCGTCATAGATATCTTTCCCCTACATGCCCTTCATATGAAGAAACTTCATCACCTCTTTTTGTTCAATTTCATCCATTTTGAAAACAGTTGACGAAATATATTTTCAAATGACAAAAAAACAATAAAATTGATTGATTGATTGATTTGAACACAAAGTAAGAGTAATTCCAAAGTTGAAGCGACTAAAATAGTAATGAGTTTTTACGTAAATTTTCAAAATAAAATTATCGATTACTTAGTACTATATCCAGGATATACAAATTAATTTCACTTCAGACTCGCTGGAACAGTAGGCTGAGTGATACGATCTATCTGGTCGTGTAATCATGATAGAGCCCGCACTGTTCTCGAACCGTGGGACAATGGCAGCGAGCAAGCTTATCATTCGGAGAGCATCCCGCGTGGGTGCACCGCTCACGTTATCGCTAACATCCCCTCCCTACCCCTAACGCACTACCCACTCCACGCTTGATTCATGCGTGTAATTAAATCTTTTGTCCGTCTCGCTTTAGCTCAACCCTCGCCGCTGATCGCATTGTAAGCCGATACTTCGGTAGCCTTTGCAATTTAACAGACGAAAGATAACTTTTCACAAGAAATGTTTCGTCACATCAATAAGGATTTGATGCGGATTGATTCATGTCTCCTATTTAAAGTTGGTGAAACGTTAAATATATCTTATTATTTACTCAAAAAGAGTGCTAATTTTCCAGATGTCGCCTGTTCATTCTGTTGAGTTATTAGAAATAGCAAGTTCTATGCAAAACGCTTAAACATCTATTTGTGGCCGAAACCCCGTCTAGCTAGTCAGCCGTTACATGCAACCCTCTAAGACCCCGCTTTACCTCCTTAACATAATTGCTCGGGTTTTCCTTGTGAATCGTCTTCATTTGAATAACATAGCAGTTTTATAGAACATTTTACGTCCGTGTAGGCGCATGCTATAACTTTTCTCTCTTACCATACACATGTCCTTATTTCCCTACTTTCCGAGATAAGTGGATGGCTACTTAGCAGGAGCTTTATTTATATCATAAGCCAAGATTTGTAAGGAAAATGAAACATAGATGTTTTCGCAGTTTCGCTTAGTAAGAATATTACCCTAGAATTTTCGTTATAATCAGGGCATCCAACAAGACTTTCAGCACAGCTTTCCGTGCTCGCAATTTAATTAATAGCAGAGCCTGATTTAGAGTTCTGACCGCCCTGGGCTAACTATGAAAACTTTGAAAATGCAATTATCTTAATTTTTCCAGAGCCACACCAACTGAAATCTCACCATTACCTAGCTCCGTTTGAATATCTCTAATGAAACTAATTTTTCTAACAAAATCAACATATGTATAACAGCGTAAGAGTAAAAATTCGTTCCCGAGATGAACGATGAAATTCCGACTCCTCAAGAAAATGACACGCCTCTGCCAATTAGAAGTGTGTGGACAACTTGTATATTTGGCGACTAAGCTGTACCGGGCCATGATAAAAATAAATTACCCCTAGACCCACTGGCGAACACTGCTTAGAGTTGAGGGGCAACGGTTTCAAAAAAAAACCCGTGGATCCACCAAGAGGAAATGTTAGTGGGAGGTAATAGTCGATTTTTACAATCTACTTATTAAGTCCTAAAAATATAAAAGAAGAAATTGAAAAGAGAAAAAAATCCTTACTTTAAGATTTGAAAAAATTGTATAAAACTCCGTTTTTTTTGCTTTCTCACTGGCGAATATTTCCACAATGTTCTCAAAATTGACATTTTGTATTGAATCATTCTCCATAAATAATGATTTTGTTTGTGTGAAACTTTAGATATACATCGATAGTTTTAATATATTTGTGTGAGAGCGTACGGAAGGAGTTTTATTTAAACGCACGTATTTTCCCAAAATTATATTAAATATTATTATGTAAGTCTTAATGCCGCGCTCGCCGGCTGCCCCCTTGGTCCTTGCGCCCTAGGCTCAAGCTTTACTAGCCTGTGGGTAAATCAGGCCCTGATTCATAGTAGCAATAATTTTAGTGTTATTTATTAGATACCTTATTAGGTACTAACTGATATATTAACAACTATCAATAATGACGATTTCCTTAAAAAAAACTTACGTTTGTATTATCTACCTCAACTCTAGTGATTCGTTCCAAAAATGTTAAACAGATAATTAACATTTATACATATCTATCTAATCAATAGCTTACATACCAATTTTCATATTTCTAAGTTCAGAAATAAAGAAGTTTTATAAGGACCCTAGGAAATTAATACCAAAAAATATTTAAAAATCAATATTTATTGATAAATCGTTAAGTTTCGCTTTCAAATGAAAATATGAAAAAATGAAAGGGTATAAACTTTAATTTTTAGTTTAAATCACACTTTGGTTATACTGTAAGAGGATAAATATACAAAAATAATAAAAAATACTTATCTTCGAAATTATCGAAATTTCATAAAAACTCTGAACCCCTAATTGAGTTTGTACTTCTATTTAAATATAATGTTGATAAGTACATTTGTCAAGATTATGCGTATGTTATTTTATAGTTAAAATCAGATTTATTTAACACAATTTTCTAAATATTATGCAAGTTTGAATTCAATATTAAAAATCTCATTAAAAAATCGCAAATTATACCTACAGTAGTAGTTCTGAGAACTGTTGTTTTAGAATTGCTACTAAGATAATTATAGTTTGCTTCATAATGAAAAGTTATTCTTTGTTCATTAGCGCGGCGACCGCAGTTATTCGCTTCGTAAAACTTTTAATTGAAATGTATCAAGTCCGGGAGCACTTCGAAGATTCCTAACGGTTTTGTTTGCAGCCGACAACGTTCTGTGTCAATTAATTTCCTAAAGTGGGCAGACAGTCGAAGTGGTGACCAAAAACAATGCTCGTATTACGTAGTCGCATCCGGCTGGCTGCCGACACAATGTCTGCGGCAGGGGGCGCTGTAACTAGAAAAAACTTGGCCATTGTTTGTCGCCTTTTCTATTTCCTAACTTTTCAGATAGTTGTTTTTCACCGTCGCCGCTGAAGCGCCGCGCCGGCCGGTTGTATAAGAACTATGTTATATGACTTTGGGTTTATAGAACGTACGGGTATTTAGGTGAACTTAGTTGTTTACCAAGTCTGTGTGTAAGTTGTTGTAATCTTTTGTCTTGATTTACGAAATAGACCTTTGATTATTATCTAGATTGGTATCATTCATCACAAAACTGTTATTATTACTTCGCCTGATTGCTGTATCAGGGTGCGTGTTACTTGCCTGGCAACAAAAATGCCACATGATCTGTTGCTGTCGTCGTTCAACAAAGATCAATAAGGCACGCTCCGGGCACCTCACGGCTCAGGGTTCGTGCCGAGTTGGCATCGCGTGACGTCTTCCGTTATTTAATAATTTCTTCCCTGCTCATCCGTTTGCCTTTGTTGTTAAAACGCTACTTTTGTTACAGAAATACACTTCCGCGTTTTTTAAAAAGAAATATTTTTTCGTGCGATGACTTAACGAGTTCTGCGAGACGGTAAGTACCTACGTATGATGACATAAAACATTTATCGAAATAATAATCGGAGTGAAAAAAAAAGAGTGAAGTTGGGCATGAACTTATTTTAAATAATTGTGAAAGGGCGTTGAATCTTTTCGGTGTTTCGGTTGGGAACAAAGGACTAATTTAAAAATTAATTGCCCGCGAAGCAATAAATAAACCGTGGACGTGACGTGTAAATAAAAAGAGTGGTCGGTGCGGAACGGGCATAGCGCCGCGCTGGGAGAAAGGGCTCGTCGTCACGGCGGCCGCATCCGCACAATGCCGCTGATTTAAAATACTCGACAAACTTGCATTTCCTTATCTTTCAATACTGTCGGAACTCTTAGCGACTCTAGACAGAATCCATTAGGACAATGTGACGCTTAATATAAATTAAACGTAGATAAATGGCGCTGAATGCGATTTAAAACTTTCGAATACCCTACTGCATTCGTGATGAGGCGACTTTATGCAACTCGATCGGTGCTGGTTGTGCCAGTATCTACTTAAATAAACACTTAGGTACTTCTAGTAATATTTGAATTGAGGTAATCCTTGAACAATGTTTAGAATAAAACAAGGCTAGCCGTAAATTTCATTTGCTATTTTCGTGTTTGACTTTGTACTTTAGTTTACACGGTTAAGTTCTATGCCGAATGCATTTGGTATATTTTTGATATTATGTAAAGTATGAGTTAATTTATTTTAGCTGTCTAATTCAAATTATTACCGCGATTTTGTTCAGTGCTAAAAAAAAGTGTGAAAATTTAATAAAAGGGATCAATCAATCGCTATCAAAGTGAGAATCAAAGGAGAAGTTACCCAATTAGGCCCCAGGCTTTAAACGGCTCCGATAAATATTATATAGTATATAGGAATGCCTAAGTACCTTTTTATTAGCGCGTGATATGTGCCAATACAATGGGATCTGCACGGGCCACAAAAATTTGGTGGTAGGAACTTTAACGCCTAATTAGATGAGACACTTACCCGTAAGCAGATCAGGCGAGTAGCGCGGCGCCAGCGCAATAGAGGAGCAGTTCCAGCGTTCGCCAGCATGGGCAGCCAGACAGGCGGCCCGGGCCATCCTAGAGGCAGCGGCCACGTGAGGCATGGCGGATGGCTGCCGGCGGCAAACGCGCCCCTGCGTGCTCCACAGGGCGCCATCGCGACGCGCCGTCTGACACTCACTCTCCGTCCAGTTGCCTTCACTCTCGTGCAACGCTCTACAACACAAAACATACGCACATTCAATCACAATATAAATGATCCCTAAAATTATAACAAATTTCTTACTTACAGAATAAAACAATTTCCAACATTTCTTATCTCGTTGATGTCTTTTGGGTCAAGAACTGAATAGTAAAAAAAAATAAGTATTTTATTAATTTTTTCTTTACTTTACATGGTAGTGCTACGACTTGAACAAACTTAATAATATAGGTATGTGTAAAAAATATTTTAAGTTTGCTTTGAATTATACTGGAGCTATTTTGGTGTTTTTGGTCTTTGGTCTGATAAGGACGATGACTGCGGTCCGTCAAAGCATCGCGAAGAATCAGGCCGCTGGCCGCGCTGAAACGCTTCACACATTTCGTACAAGTAATTAGGTAGGAAGTCGCCTGTTTCGCCGTCCCTACGGCGTAGCAAGCGATACGCATCACGTAGGCTGGGTTTTGGCGCGAGACGCATTTCCAACTCAACGGCGGATGGGAAATGCGCTGCAAGAGAGTATACGATTTCCAAATCTGAAGGCGGTGGATTTAAGTGTCTATAATTTGAAACCTTGTGCAGAAAATACTCGGACATGCTCATTCTCGTATTTGTCTCATCATATTTCCCCAGTTTCATGTCGTAGAGTGCTGACTTTTGTCTGTCTGGACCCCAGAATTCTTGTTCAAATGCATCGTAAAAAGTTTTGACGTCCTTAAATTCGTTTCTGAAGCATCTGGCCCACATAAGTGGAACTCCGTCAAGGCAGGATATTATGAATTGCAGTTGTTTGTCTTGCGACATATTTAACTCGGATATGTAATATTTTACGTTTTCTATAAAGTCCATAGGATGTGTATCTCCAGTGTCATCGAAATTCGGTCTCCTGTTTAATGAAGCTACCAGCCAGTCACTGAACTCTTCTGCCGATAGTTGTATAGCTGGTTTGCTGGTGCTGTCGCTTTTTTACCCGACTGCCAAAGAGGGAGGGTAATGTTTAGGGAGTGTATGTAAGTATGTATGTATGTCTGTTCCTTTGTGACCTCCTGTAGCCTAAACGGCTTGATGGATTTTGATGTATGAGGTATCGTTAGATTTGTCTTGATTACGGGAGTGTCATAGGATACATTTTATCCTAAAAGTCCCACGGGATAAAGACATAATAATATTTTTTCTAAATTTCCCTTTAAAAAAATATGTATGCGGTATCATTAGATTCATTTTTAGACTGTCTTAAGGTACTTAATAATTCCCGCGATATTAATTCCCTTACTGAAGTAACAAGACTACGGTATATACCGTCTTAAAATACTAACTAACTAAAAAGTGTGAAATAAAAAAGGTAAATTTAAAAAATCAAAAAACCCGACTGCTTAATTATACTTCAAATAAAAACTGAAAAGAAAAAAACAAGTCCAGTAGTCTATAATTCTGTTAATAAGGAACAAAGCTACTTTAACAGTCGGGACCCACTGTTGAAAAATATTATGTATTCTTGAATATCTAATGGGTCCCGACTGTTAAAGTAGCTTTGTTCCTTATTAACAGAATTATAGACTACTGGACTTGTTTTTTTCTTTTCAGTTTTTATTTGAAGTATAATTAAGCAGTCGGGTTTTTTGATTTTTTAAATTTACCTTTTTTTTCGTCATCGATTTCCTCAATTTTCGGTCGTGAGTCCCGTGACGTTGATGGCCTGTCTAATCCTCCGTCCATGGATTTACCCAAATTCGGGAGTGACATATGACTTCGTAATCTCGAAGATGGCATATCCCTGAACACGTCTTCTTGGCTTGAAAACCGCACACCAAAACCAAGAGTGGTTGGTTTATACATCGTGCTATACAATATAGACGGCTCTTTCTTGGGAATACTATCTTGAGATTTTTCTTTGCCAATGCTAGATGATATTTTGTCGACCATATCCGACAGGTTTGTTACTGATGACTTGATCTGACGCAAGTCAACAAACAAACTCATTGTATCTTATGGGTTCTTCATGTTTCTCACATGTGGTGTATGTACTGCAACAAAATACTTATTTAACTGGATATTAATTACAATATTTTTACTTAGTAGGTACATAAAAATAAATCATTTAAAGAGATTTGTATCATTATGTGTAAGATCATTTCTTTTTTCAAGCCAATTACATTATTTTACATCAATTATTATCACGGACGAAAGAAAGCTCTTCTTTTTACAAATGATGAGTAATATATTTATTTTCTTTAATATTTAATCAGTTTAAAACTTTGAGTACGTTTAAAATGAGAATCGGTAAACGTCTTTATACTGAAATGCAGTGCAGTGAGTTATAAATATAATCATAATGGAATTATAAAGTGCAGGGTGCGTGCGTGGCAAGTTGGAAGCTTCAGGCTTACGTGCGGCGGCGGCGGGCGGACTGGCGGCACTACCTGCCCTGCTGCCAGGGGCGGAGTACTTACTTATTATACAGTTTACGTTACTATAACTGGGTTATCGTAGACGGAATATTAAATTCCATTGACGTTGCGTTGCCTGCCAAGGACGCACGCCGATACATACCTGTTTTAGGTGACATCTGTGTCGAATCTCGAACTTGCCCCATATATTACGTAAATGTAAACCTTTTTGCACACTTTTCTACACAAGTTAAATATTAGTGAAAAATCAACGAAAGTTTTTTGAAGTACCTACCTATTAATCATGGCAATATTGGATTTTCACTTCAAGTTACGTGCTTGCTTTTCTAGGCTTTCGCCGAGTGACTTGTACTATACTTTTTATCTACTTACCATTCATAAATTGTCTCGCAGACTACGGTTAGTTATTTATGCATTAATGGTGGGGTAACGTTGCAAATCGTTATGGTGTAATTTCAAAGGATATTGACGTATGACTTTATTCATTGCTACGGGGTTGGTAGAGTCACAAAGGTGCGGCAGTATAAAAATACTAGCCACATCTCAACGACATCTTAATTGAGATTAATTGGGACTTGCGCCCCGTTGACTTGAAAAATATGCCTTTTTTTGATAGGTTATTTCCAAGGATTGTCATTTATCAGAAAAAAAATACACTTTTCTTTACCCTTTAGTTTATCAGGAATAAATTAAAAACAATGCGGAGTAGATTTGCAACAGGCACAACTGATGCTATTACATAATTATAATATAATATGGAATAAATTTTTAAGTATGTGGGGAGGCCTTAATTAATAGAAATTTGGACTTGTAAATATGTAGTTGTAAAAATGTAGCGCTTTTGCATGAATAATTGATTTGTTTCGGTTGGAAATCTGATATCTGTGTAATGATATGTAGGGGATTAAGGGCGCACGCGACGTCACTGCTCCTAACATCAGAGTCGATAGCCTCGCATGTTGAGCGCGGCTAGGGCCGAACACGGCGTCCGGAACGATTCGCACAACTCCGTAATAGCAATTGACTCCGTCTCGTCCGGACATCCAGTCACGGTGCTACGGGCACAAAGCTTCCGTAGCCGTGTCCTATTATGGTTAATTCATGTGGAATGCAATTGTTCCGTTCTCGGGCACTGCGCTCGGCATTATCGTATTCGTCACGCCGCGCACGTGTTCGTTCGATCTAATAAAATAATTCCCGTATCAAATTTTACGCGCCTATCTCGATCTAGTAGACAAAGAACCGTGTGGAGGGTAGGGAATTCGCTTTGTCATAACTGGTCATGCTGTACAAAAGAGCATTGAGTTTTTGTCTATGGTTCGCTTTGTATTTTGTGTATGCAGATAATTTTAAAATGACCCGTCAAGTTACAACGTTGCTGTTCTATTATTGTTATTTAAAGGGGTTAAATAAGTAATTGAATATTAAAAAAAATACGAGTTTAAAACATGTATGTTAAAGTGGGAAGTCGAATTTAAATATCTTTAAGTTCTAATTTATAAAGGTTTTACTCTCTTCTCAACTGTGATACAATGGAAAGAAACGGCTGGCGTCACACACCGCAAATGCACCCTAAAACGGATACCGCAAAATGAAATTTCGGTTGTGTCATCCTGAAGATTTAATTTTAAAACGCTTTTGAAACCGCAGAGGCAAAAACGCGCTACCTTACAGCTGGCGCGCTGCAGCAGGCGCTGATTCAGGTTTAATGATGATTAAACGCAGTATGATTGTCGTCAGTGGTGCGTGCGCTGTAGCGGGCCCGCCCGTAGTCAGACCCCCTTTAAGTATTTGTCTCTACAGAAACAAGGAACCATAAATGCCAAGTACAATCTGCATCACATAAATATAATAAAACTAAACTTCTTTTGAACTTTATGTCAAACGCGTTAAGGTTAAAAAATAGACGGATAACTTGAGAGCGTGTTGACTGTATAGACGTTCAGACAACACGATCTCAAGTTATCCGTGACGTGACTTTCGTGTAGCAATTTAGCGATTCAGTGTGATTTATGTTTCGTTAGCTTTTAACTCAAACTGAGACAATAACTTTTCTAAAAAAATAACCCTTGCGTTGAGTTAAGTACTGTAATAACTTTTCTAAAGAAATAACCCTTGTCTTGCAAATTAGTATTCGCAAATAAAATAAAACATACAAGTATGTCAAATTGTTGTTGACGTAACTTTTATAAAATTTATTGCTGACCTGTTTTTATAGTTATTCCGTTTACTTATCATCGTAGCTGAATTATGTATGAGGTTTTTTTTTATTGGAACGAAAGTTCCTTACGGCAGGCTTGGAAGGGATAGGGATTTTGCTGCGCGACCGAACTGAAAAAAATGTGATAGTAAAACCGTAAGAAAAAATGCGTGGAATAAAACCGTTAAATGAGACGTGCGCAGGCGCGACGAAGTTCCTTACGGCAGGCTTGGAGGGGATAGGGATTTTGCTGCACGACCGACTGAAAAAAATGTGATAGTAAAACCGTAAGAAAAAATGCGTGGAATAAAACCATTAAATGAGACGTGCGCATAGGGGGTGGTAGAGCGACGAGGGTGCATCACTGAAATATTGTGATATTACACCAACACTGAATATGTGTGAA